AGCTGGGGGATATAGCCACACAGCAACTTGACCAAACTTGCCTCACTTCTGGGAGGAAGACCCATGGGGCGGCAGTGAAAGGCACAAAAGAGGAAGAAGGTGGCTCTCCTGGGATAGGCTGGCTTCAATCCCCCATAGGTCCAGTACGTGCCTGGGTCCTGGCTTCCTGAACACACAGGTGGCAGCTTCATTTATCTCTTCACTGAACACCTGCATGGGAATGGGCCCTGGCTAGAGGAAGTTCAGGTCTCAGAATGACAAATGACCAGCACAGAAATTTGATCTGGCAGACATGTGGGACTGGATACTCCTGCACACTTTGTGACTCTGAGTTCTTCTTAATAACTTGCTTGAGTGTCTTGTTCATTACACAGCTGGTCAGATGACCTCTGGATTCTTCTGAATACAAAAGTGGCATCTTGGCACCATATCTGGTGTGGAGAGCATCTCCAAGAGGCATGTGGAAGAGGGCCAGACTTCTAACATTCCTTCTAGGAGGGCTCACAGTGGTGGACCTGACAAAGATCCCCTAGGTCCTCTTGCCACCCATTCTGAGACACCATTGACCTGCTTTGGGAAGTACAGGTCACCCTTCCAAGCAAGCCAGGAAATGGGAGGGAGAAGTGTGCATCCACCTCTGTCAGCTGTTCTGTACCTCTGTCCACTCCTTGTAGGCCTCTGCTCCTTACAGGCTGTTTGAAAGATACTTGCTCTGTCACCCACTCTGCATCTTATACTTCCTCATCTTTTCCTTCTTAGCCTTTAACCTGAATGAACGGTTGTGACACTGTACAAATGGATCTGTCTCTGAGTCCCACTGTCCCAAGAGTGTGCCTTTTCCACTGTACCCACACAGTGTGGCTGACATACCTGGAGGAGACCTGTGGCAGACTCAAGGCCTAGGACAAGGGCTCTGAGCATGGAGTGAGGGCTGAAATCCAGCCTGTCCTTCTGCTGTCTGCTGATTCCAATTGTGTTGCCTGTCCCATTTTTAGCATTGGCTGCCCTGTCTCCTGTGCTAACCATACTTGACCAGACTTTCAAGACAGATGTTCTACTCTTGGCTTCTTTTATCTTCCCCAATGGGCTTTTGAGCCCCCTGCTCCAGGCTTCAACTTCCAACGATGCTCCCTGGGCTCTCACATTTACTTGTTTCTTGGTGTGCTTAGGCAAGAAGCCAGGGCAAGTGCTCTATCACTGAATTACACCTCAGCCCTGTACCCATCTCAGACCTTTGAGCTCATCTGACTTACAAAAAGGTGTTCTCTCAGCTCTCAGAAGACTAGCAGTGGTGGATGATGGGACTGTTCAAACCATAAAGAAGGCCCTATCTGCCCACATCTACTTCAGTTTGCTCCACTCCCCTTCTCAGGGCCTCTGTAGAGCGTAGAATAGGAGAGACAGTAGATAAACCTCACCAGAGGTTAGGATAGGCACCCCCAGAGTGCCCCCATACAGTGCATAGCACCTAGAAACCCGACTATTTCCTTTCCTGATGATTATCAACAGTTCCTCTCTCTCCTTGGGACTCAGTTTCCACTTTGTAGATCGAGCTGGTTGTACCAGATAACCTGACTGTGACTGCTATTTTAGAATTCTCCCATGTGCTGTGTGCCTGCCACGCTGCTCAGGAGTGTCGCTGGCCTTACTTGGTGTTATTTGTGTGCTGCCCTCTGGGCCTATCAGCTCAGTGCTTGTCACTTGGTCCGTGGAACAGTGAGGAGACAGTCTTCTTGTTTCTAGGTATCAGAAAAGTAAAGACATTGTTATACTCTGGGTCTTTTGGATTTTATTTTTTACTTCCTTTTGTCAAGACTTTTGTAAACAAAATGATGTAGGTTAAAGAATTGCAACCTTCCATCTCCTTTATTTTAGGATGAAAAGGTCAGCAATGACAGACCAAGATAAGCTATTCTAGAGTCTGAAGCTTCCAGGATCTTGTGGTGCAGAACATATTTTACAGCATAGTGATAAGTGGCTGAATCTTACTTAGCCCATGAACCCAATGGAATGAGGAGGAGGGCAACCAGGTCCTGGGAATTGCTTGGCTCTTTCTTCCTGACTATGGTGCATTGAGTTTTGTTTCTCAAAAGATCTGTCCATGTCCTCACCCTGAAATCTGTAAGGGTGACCTTATTTAGAAAAGTCTTTTCACATTTGTCATCAAGCTAAGTGGGGCCACTATGGTGGGCTCTGATCCACAAGCTACTATCCTTATAAGTGAAGAGACATAGGCAGATATGCACATGACAAGGCTGCATGAAGACAGGCAGAGGTAGAGGGAAGGGTCTATCAGTCAAGTAATACCTAGATGGATAACATCAGAAAATAAAAGAAAGATCTGGAACACATTCTCAGGGACACATCCTCAGGGAACACATCCTCAGAGGGGGCTTGGCCTTGCTAATGTCTTGATTTTGGACTTTGGGCATCTAGAACTGGGAGAGGATACATTTCTCTTGTGTTTTTTTTTCCCTGTCCAGTGTGAGGAAGTCTGCCAAAACAGCTCCAAGACATACAGACCTTCTCCTAATTCTCCAGGCTGCACTGCTGTGGTGTGTTCTTGCTCCCAGCCATTTGACTAAGGACAAATTCATGCTTTATGGGCAGCATCACGTCTTATCTCTTCATGTGGAGCCAGTTGTGTTGATAGGGAATCTGTCTTGTCTAGACTTCCTTAGTCTTATGACTCAAACTGTGCTGCTTGCCTTTTTGCTGTGGAAGCAGGGTCTTAAGGGATCTTTGGAAACGTGTTACTTCTTTTTGGCTCTTGCCCTGGAAAATTGTCCTCTGGTGCTAACAAATATAAAAGGACATTTTGTGCACCAGATAAATAGAAATACAATGAAGAGAGCCTGAGAGATGGTTCAGTGATTGGGAGAACTTGCTACTCTTCCAGAGGACCAGAGTGAGGTACCCAACTGCCTGTAACTCCAGCTCCAGGAGATCCAATGCCCTCTTCTGGCCTCCACAGACATTGCACATGCGTGCATATACACATAGGCACATCAATAGAAATAAATCCTAAGGAAAATAAAACAAATATCATGAAGAAAAGTTGAGGACAATATGCAGAGTGCTGTGGAGGGGACTCACAGTACTGTGACCATGGTGGTCATTTGTAAGGCCTAACCACAGAACTATCTATGGGGCTCTTCCTGGCCCAAAGAGGGTGCCACAGAGCGTTGACATCTACACGCAGGCATTCAGAGGGATCTGGAGAGGGTAGGAAAGAGGCACTAAGAGTAAATGAATGTGAAATGTTGGGCTTTGTTTTTGTGGCTTTAGGACAAAGAGGAAGTCAATGATCAGAACTCAGGTACATTACTGATGAGGACGTAAAATGCATAGATGCTCTAGAAAAGCAGTCTGATGGGGCCTTAAAAAGTTAAACATGGGCTGATGAGCTGGCTCAGTTGGTAAAGTTCTTGCCTTGCAAGAATGGGGACCTGAGTTTGATCTCCAGAATCCTTGTAAAAAAAAAAAAGCTGGTGCTTAAAATCCCAGTATTAAGAAAGCAGAGACAGAGGGCTCACTGGGGTTTGTTGGTCAGCCAGACTAGCCTAATTGGTGAGCTCTAGGCCAATGAGAGACCCTGTCTCAGAAAACAGGGTGAACAGTACCTGAGGAATGACACTGGAAATTCTCCTTTGGTCTCCACCTTACACACACACACACACACACACACACACACACACACACACACACACACACACAAACACACACACACGTGAGGCCATTCACACCTATACATACATGAACACACATATGCATGCACACATTAAAACAATTACCATCAGATCCAGCAATCTCGTGGCTGGGTATATATCAATTCCCAAAGGAAAACAGGACCTCAAAGAGCAATTTGTGCACCCAGGTTCATAGTAGTATTTGCTGTGGGATGTTCTGTATGGCAAATGTGTTGCTGATTAGTCAATCAATAAAACACTGATTGGCCATTGGCTAGGCAGGAAGTGTAGGCGGGACAAGGAGGAGAAAAAAGCTGGGAAGTGGAAGGCTGAGAGAGAGAGAGGAGACAGTGCCAGCCGCCATGATGAGAAACAGCATGTAAAGATGCCAGTAAGCCACGAGCCATGTGGCAAGGTATAGATTAATGGAGATGGATTAATTTAAGCTGTAAGAACAGTTAGCAAGAAGCCTGCCACGGCCATACAGTTTGTAACCAATATAAGTCTCTGTGTTTACTTGGTCGGGTTTGAGTGGCCGTGGGACTGGCGGGTGTCAGAGATTTGTCCTGACTGTGGGCCAGGCAGGAAAACTCTAGCTACAAGTATTATTCACAATGCCTAAAAGATGGGAGTAGTCCAAGCATTGGTGATTGTGTGGATAAACCTAGCATGTCTGTGCAAGCAATGGAGTATTATCCAGCTTTAAAAAGGAACAGAAGGCTGACATCTACTACAACATGGATGGCCTTTCAGGACATGATGCTCAGTGAAATGAGCCAATTACAAAAGGACAAATACTTCTCTCATCCTACTTCTAGGAGAGGCCTTGTATGAGAATGCTGCAGCCAGATTTGCTGACAGACAATAGAATAGGGGAGGGAGGAGGAGTGGGAAGTTGGTGGGAAATGAAACGAAGTTTAAGTTTGGAAAGGTGAAAAAGTTCTGAAGACAGAATTGCCACAGTTCTCCCATTGACCTATCGAAGGACACGGACCTGGATATTCACAGCAGGCTTTACCTGGTCAAATCAGTTAGTGGGAGGCCCCACAGGTGGGGGACCTCTTGCCTACAGAGCCAGTGTTCCTTCTTGTCATAGAACCCAGCAGGGCAGCAGTCCACAGGGGAGGCCATGCTTGTGGCTTCTCCTACCTTGGCTCAGTGGCATGCAGGTACCTTTGTTCGGTTCCACATGGAAAGTTACCAAATAATAAATCACACATGTGACCCCAGACCAAGATTGTAGGAGCCTTTCACTTTTTTATACACAGAAATTTTGGTCTATTCTTTAAATTAAGAAATTCAACTATAGACTTTAATTTCTTATGCATCTGTGATGTTTCTTATTAAGATATTTTGTTCATTTTTATAACAAGCAGATAAAAATGTAAAACATATTTATGAACTGAACACAGTTGACCAAGCCATTCCATACAGTAAAATGCTTTATAAAGAGAAGCTTCCGGTGAGATAGGTCTCTCGGTCTGAAGACTGTACAAGAACCAGAACAGATGATATCGGTTTCCAGGGCCTTTTCTGAACCCCACAGCTCAGCACAAAGGCAGCCTGGGTATCACACAGTCGACACTGACACCAGGCAACTTTACACAGCAGCATTGAGGGTTGGCTTTTTACTATATAGTGGTCATTTGCTCTATCTGTGTGTCTACAACAGAGGATGACAAGAAGCCCATGAGCATAGCTGGACACAGCTGACCCGCTTCAACTGCAATACTCCACATTTTGATTTCTTGTTGAAGAACACAAAGACCCTCAGCCAGCCAAGTTGCCCTTTTGTTGTGGTGGTTTAAACAAGGACATCAGGGAACAATTTACAAATGGGAAACATTCTCAATATGCCCTTTAGAAAAAAAGGGATGGCTTTAAGTGATCTGTAGCTGGCGTTTTAAAGTGGAGTTTCTCTTGTAACTGAAATTCTTTTGCCCGAGATGTGACTATCCTGTTCAGGGGTGACATGGCATTGGTGTGACCAGTGAGGACAAAGCACATTTCCATTAGACTTTGTGTGGATGCCTGGGAGCTGAGACAAGCTTTCTGTGTGGTGGTGTGGGATGGGAGTGGGGCAAATGCAGCTCCTGAGGGTGCTTGTCCTTACCCTCCATCTCTTAGCTCACATCTGTCTCCTGCCAGAAAACCTCGGGGCCAAGTGACAAGCATGTGTGGGAGTGGAGTGAGATTCTAGACATCTTTCTGCAAAGTGTGACACTCATAAGTTCAGAAGGTGAAGGAACCTCAAGGGCAGGATGCTGCCCATTTCACTGGTGTCATTGTGGGTGTCCAGATTCAGGATCTAGAAGCACAGGGGAGGGTCAGTTTTCCACTAGAAAGAGACTCATCAGCTTGGGCTTCCCTGCAGGGCAGCAGACATTAGACCTCTCTCCTCTGCCTTCTTTCCTCAGGTTATCACTTTTTCTAGGAAAGCAGGCTTGGTCCAGTGGATGCCCACACTGATGGGATAGGTTCCTGGATCCCAGACCTTGCTTTCCTAGCCTCACCTGCCTTGGTGGGCCCAAGTCCTGTAGACCCAGTGCTTAGCCCCCCACAGGCCTAGAAGAGCCACCAGCAAGAGAACAGCAATGACAACAGTAATGAAGGTCATTTTTCCATCAGGCTCTGTTTCTATAGTGTTGCCTTCTGGGTTGTATTTCCCCTGTGGGCAAGAAGACCTGGGTTGGAAGCAAGCTTTGGTGGGTGGCACGCCCATGCCTTGGCAGACATGGAGGTGGTCCAGTGAGTACTCACTGTCATTTGCCAAAGCACAAAGTGAAAGTTTAGAGGAATGACAGAGATGAACCTGGACTGTCCTTGCAGTTGGCATCTTGATTTTGATGACCCCTCTTCCTCAGGTGGCCTTTGTAGCAGTTAGGCCTGGCGTCTGTCTCTGCTCTATCACAGCTGTTCATAAGGTTCTTCATGCTTTCAAACTTGGACAAAGAAAGCCATTAGCCAAAATGAAGGTGTTGGAAACGAAATGGGAGGAAGCCAAAACTAAAACTTGCTTTGCTTCATACTGGGGGGGGGGGGTATTGTCATCAATACTTTGGTATTTTCCTTTTAAATAAAATGCCATTGAAAAGTCTTTTTCCTCTGTAGTCAGAGGTCTCAAAGTGCAAAGGTTCTTGCACAACACACTCCAGACTGCCTCCTCTGGAATCAGCAGGGTCAAGCATGGACATCCTCAGGCCAGGTGCTTGGGGAGGGAAGTACAGCACTGAAAGGATGTTCTTGCAGTCTTGTTCCCTGAAAAGAACCTTGCTACATTCAAAAATGAAACTTCAAAAGGAAAACGCCTGGTGAGAGGAATGGAAATATCATGCCGATAAATAGTTCCTTATTCTTTAAATATGCATTTGCCATATATATATATGTATATGCATATAGACACACATACATATAGACACACGCACACACATGCGGTTTGCAGATGGGTCTAGTGTGCTTTGCAGTAGAAGGTACCTTTGCAGGTGGCTCCCTCCGGTGGCCGGTCTGCACAATGACTGCCTTCTATGTGTGTGTGTGTGTGTGTGTGTGTGTGTGTGTGTGTGTGTGTGTGTGTGTGTGTGTGTGTTATGGTAAAGCTCCAAATAGGCTCAGCTAGCCCCTGCCATGCTGCACAGCCCAAATGGTGAACACATGGTGGAACTAGTGTTTTTTAAAAAAGAAGCATCAGTAGAAAAAAAAAAAAGATGGAAAGTGCATCTTGTCTCATGCTCTCTTTTTTTTTTCTTCACATTGGGTGAAGAACTTCCTCTCCTCCCTTTTCCTTCTTCCTCCTTCCTCCACCTCCTGGGAGCCTAATGAGAAGCCTAGTGGGGCTGTGCCCTTATTGAACGCAATTGGCTTCTTGCAAATACCACATAAGAAAAGTCTTTAGCCTCTTTAGCAGGTTTTCCCTCTTTGGCAGGTGCAAGGTTCCCCTTTCTGTGTGTACATGCACATATGTGTGCATGTGTGACTGTGTGTGTGTGTGTGTGTGTGTGTGTGTGTGAGAGAGAGAGAGAGAGAGAGAGAGAGAGAGAGAGAGAGAGAGAGAGAGACTCTGTGTGTGTGTATGTGTGCATGTATGTATATATGTATGATGACAGAAGTTCTGGTTAGAGGGATGTCTCCATGCTGTGGAGTGGGCTCCCAGGCCTGGAAGAGAATGCTGAAGAGGTAGCTGACTTGGTGACATGCGTGGTCAGGTAGATGCCGCTGTCTATGGCGTTGTTGTTCTGGTTAGGGGGTGAGGGAGGCGGGGCCCTCAGTCGCTCTTCATTTTCATCCACATCTGTGTCATCGATGAGCGGGATGTTGTGGGTGTAGTCATTGATCAGAAACTCGGGCGTTGCCATGAAGTTATGGATGCAGCTCTTGGATTCCGGTTTCTCAAGGCCTTCATAAAGTGAGCTACGGAATGCTTTCACCACCCGGATCTGAAGTGGAGGGGGAGGGACAGACCCCACATAGGAGATGGGAAGGGCAAGGAAGGGAGGAGAAGGGAGAGGTAAGGGGAGGGGAGAGGGGAGAGGAGAAAAGAGGGAGAGGAAAGGAGAGGAGACAGTCAATGGGTAGTTGGTGCTGGAAAGTTGTGCCCACATTAGGGGCTGGCACATTGCGTGATGAATATTCACACACTGGGGGACTTGTAGAGAATGGGGTGGCTTTGCTAGACTGTGGTAAGGGTTTACAGGTCAGGGCCTTGGTATTGAAAACATTCTGACAGGGGTAGATATCCTGGAACAATAGGCTGATGCCTGCTACCTTCCTGGTCCTTACCCTGGGAACAGGAATGGCTTAGGTGACACCTGAGGTCTTTGCTCAATTTGAATTCCAATTTGGTGGAAGACAAATATACTGAGATTCTCCAAAGAGTGTGCCAGTGGCCACTTCTGCACCTGCATCTTAGTTCTTCCTTCAGGGGCACACCACACACTTGAATTCCCACTTCTGAAAACGTCTCAAGCTTCTCTAACATTGTTGTTCCTGTCCTCTTTCATTTTACCAGTCTTGGCCTCCAGGTTAGGGCCGGTGGACTCTTACTGTTAAGAGTCCCTGTTACTCTTCTTCTCTGTCCACATCTCTGTGTAGTGCTGGAAACCATCTAGGAATACGGCAGAGCTCTGGGCCTAAGGGTCCACTGACCCTAACCTGGAGGCCAAGACTGAAAACGGCCACACTTGCATTTGCATGTACCAAGCCTGCTCCTATTCACCTGTATTGATCTACTAGTTATCCTCATGGTCTTCTTATAGCTCAGGGTCATAGCTACATGTGTCTGATTGGGTCTGATTAAAAATTGGTGCCCTCAGCAGCCCTTTGCAATCTACCTTTCTGGCCCTTCTTCTCCAAATCCTCTCCCTCCTCTTCTCCTTATTGAGCTTCTGTTCAGACAGCCCTGTGCTTTGCTACATGCTCCTTGTCCATCCTACTCCTGTCTTCAGTTCACATCAGCATTATATTCTGCAAGGAAGTGCTTCCCACAATGCTCGGACCTCCCCACCACTGTGGCCACATGCTCTGAGCCAAGCTTGCATCCCCTCCAGCCTCCTGCATCTCCTGCAGGACAATGCTTTAGAACTTGCCTGAGAATCAGCCTCTTCCTTCTCTGGCTTTTCCACAGTCACTCACACACTGACTCCAGTTTCATTATTTTTTCAAGCCACAGAACAGCTGCCTCTGTGATGTCTCCCTGGCCCCACATACAGGGCTCCTTCCTGCTTCTAGAACCAGAGGCCAATTAATAGGCCTCTGCTAGATCTCACACAAGCCAGTGCCAGCACTGCTGCCCATATCAACTGGCCCTACTGCAAATACAAAGCCAGTCCTGATGGCCTCCAGGTAGTGTAAAGGACAGTGGAAAGACTGCCAGTTCTCCAGGAGGGTAACTGGGTTCCCCAGCTCTAGTTAGTCTCTCCTTGTGTGAAACATTCTAAGTAATTTCAAGGAGCTAGGATTTAGTTTTCATGGTTTAGGTAACATATCTGTAAACTCTGGCAAAAAAAGTGAATGAACCCTGAACCTCTTCTGGTTTCGTAAATAAAGTGTATTGGTGAGCTGCCATGCCCATTCATTTGAATACTGTCCGTGGCTGCTTTCATGCTACAAGGGCATGGTTGTGCAGTTGCAACAGAGACCTGGCCTGAAAAGCTAAATATGTTTACTTGTTGGTCCTTTATAGGAACAGTTGACAATGAATCATCCGGGCTACAATGAGTTCCTTTCAACCCTCCAGTCAAGATCTTAGGGCTGACAACTCAGCCAGGTCAAGTGCAGTGCTCCTAAATCACTCTAAATGAGGCAAACCTCACAGCCTTTGGAATGGAAAGAAGTAAGCCAAAAGGCTCTAGAAAATTGGGGTTTCCTAAATCCACATCTGAGGTCCAGTTAGGATTTTTTTTCTGTCAGATTGTGGATGGCTATTGGTTCTTCAGGCCACTATTTTCAGACTGGTTGCTTAAATAGGTTTAACATAGGATTTGAAAACCACTGCCAATTTTAATGAGAAGAAAACAATTCACTTTTTGTATCTAATGCCAATGCTGCTTCATTAATTAGGTTTTCTAGGGCAAGACTGGAATGTTGGTGCTGGGAAAAACACCTAACTCTAGCTATCAGCCATACCATTATGTCACAAAAAAGAGAATGAGTTACACATTGTTGCCCTCGACTCTGGGAGAATCAGTTAAGTCTTCCAACAATGCCCAGGTGACTGGCCACAACATTCTCCTCAATTGGACCTCATATGGTCAGGCCAGACACCTGTTCAAACCTATCCATGGGTCTCAACTGTACCTGGCTCAGCTCCAAAGTCTTTCCCTGAAGAGAGAAGCCCTGGCCACAAGACAACCCTCATATGCTGTCATTGCCTCTTGCAGCCACTGCTGCTCTGGTCTGTTCCTTTTGCTTCCTCCTTCTGCCAGATCCAGGGACAGAGTTCCCAATGTACCAACCCCTGGGAATCACATGCATGCCATGTGTGAATGAGTGCTGTGCCTCTTGTTCAGAGGGCCACCCACTCCACTGTTCTGAGTCATCTTGAGGGTAACATCTGAGAGTGAGTCAGCTTTTTCTCCAGCTTCTTTCTTCCCTGCATTGAAATCTGTGGCTAGAACAAACTGGTTTGCTGTTGATCTTATGATTGGGGTATTTTCAACCACCCAAAGGCTGTAGGGCACAGGCACCCCCTGGGAGGCTGATCTCAATCAGCAAAGCAGCAACTGCCCGGAAGAGTGGCCTGTTCTGGAAGGCAGGACTTGTGCCAGGTGCCTGAACTTCTCTCCAAGACCCTGGAATTATTCCTTCTTTCAGACCTGACTGGAGTTTGGTGTTTCTGGCCAAGCTGCAGCCAAGGCTGAGCTGAGCCCATGCCATGCCCCAGCTCACAGCCTCCTGCTTGGGTTTCTCAGTGTGCTATGCTCAAAGCTCCTCCACCTCCACTCTTCCCCAGGGCCTTCAGCACCCTCAAGGCCCATCAGACCACCTAGATGTCATCAATGCTTTGAGTATCACATCCATCCAGACCCCCTTTTTACATCTCACTCCTACTGCTCCCAGGTGTCTCTGTTGGAGGCCCACTGGAACTCTCACTCTCCCATCCTCACCAGCTCCTAGCCCATCCTCTCTATACACTTCACTGTCAGCTTGTCCAATGGGACCAACCCCTAAACATCTCACCAGTGTTCCTCTCCTCCTCCACTATAGCCTCCATGTTCTGCTTGAAAGCTGATGTTCTTGTTTGCCTTGGGCCTCCATCCTGCCTTTGTTCCTGACACACAGCTTCTGACTAAGCTTCTGATGACCCTATGGTGACCTGCAATGTCCCATGTCCAGATGATGTTTCCAGGCTTTTTGGTCACTGAGTCAGACCCTGTCACTTCCCTACCTGACTATGAATATTCTTGTAAGTGATGGAAGTAGCCTGGGTGCTGACTGGGGGTAAGAAATCATTGAACTTTAATTTACAGCCCATTTACCTGTAGGATAAAAGGATTTTTTGTGTGATTGTTTGTTTGTTTGAGACAGGGTTTCACCATACAGACCAGGCTGGTTTCAAATTCCAGATCCCTTGTTTCAGCACTGCCCCCTTACCCAGTGCTGCAATGACAGGCATGCACCACAAGATCCAGTTCTGCAGGATAATTTTACATAAAAGATGTCTTTAGGAAAGATAAATCACACATGCATCACCATTTACTTGTTCGCCACCCCAGTTCCACAGTCCCATTCAACTGTTGCTTCACTTCAGCAACCCATCATGGCTAGTGTCCCAAGAAGACTTTTGATACTTTATTTTTTGCAATGCAGTCCCTAACCAAGCAAAGTACTTGATGCTCCCTCAACCTCCCCAGAAGTCCTTCCTAGCCACTTTCCCCTTGACCCTTCCCTAATATTCAGGGGCTGCTGCCTACCAATAGTCTCCATTGCACCTGTCTTCCATTTGCTCTCTCAGCTCCAGATGTGGGTGTCTGAGTCATATCTCATTCCCTTACATATCCTCAGTTCTCAACAATCCACCATTCCCTCTCTTCAAATGACATCCAGAATCTTCCACTTCACACACACCCATCACCACCACTGCCGCGACACCAGGTTCAAGCTTACTGCTGCAGGGACATTTTTTAAATAGTCTCCCTGCTACCTTTATGTTACCTCACAGTCTGTCCTCCACATGGCAGCTGGTTAATCCTTTCCAATGCAAGGAAATTACTAGCTTCATTTCCCACAGAAGAAGACCCATGGCCCCAACCAAGAGCCTGCCTTGGGCTTTCTCATTTCATCTCTTTTACTAGCTCTAGCCCCGACATGTTCCTTTCACAGGGCATTGTCTGTCTGTTCTACCACAAAGAGTCAGTGGCTCAGAGGCCTCAGTAATCCTCAGGACCCCCTCCTCACCTTTTCAGTAAGCTCTACCCTGTTCCTCCCAGCACCCAGTCAGTAACAATAGTTATTTTCTCTTCTGTCTCCTCTCAGTGGAAGCTAACCATTCCCTGAAAGATAGGACTTTTTCTGTAGGGTTCAATGGTGGCCCCAACATCCAGTGAGCTGCTCATACTCAGCAGACAGTGACTGGGTATAAACTATCTGGTCTAGCCTTGCTTCTGTCTCCTATGGTAGTGTCATCCCTCCAAAGTTCTCTACCCACTTGGCTGTGGTCAGCTAGCTGAAACCGTCTGGAACAACTAAAGCTCCCAAACCCAATACCTGCTGGGCTCTGACCTAAACCCTAAATCCAACATAGCTTCTCCCACATCCACTATAGCTGCCCTTTTTCTTTCCATACCAAACTCAGAGAGTCTGTCCTGAGTAACCTGGAACCTAGAATAGCACCCCTAATGCTTTGAATGGTCCCTTCACTTCTCCTAGGAGGCCTATGACCATCTACAGTCACTCCCTTTGCTGATCACCAATTCCTGCCCAGAGGAGACTCACAATG